CGCCACAAAACACACAAGCCTCACTGAATGTCTCCTTGCTACCGCGATCTCGCCCACAGGAAGCCTCGACCGCGTGGCAGCAGGGAAAATAGCCGCGGATCCGGTTCGTAAGTAGAGGCAAGTTCGTAAGTAGAGGTAAATTTTTGGGGCCAGAGCTGGTTGTATCTTGAAAATTTCGTAAGTAGGGGCGTTCGTAAGTAGAGGTACCAGTGTATATGTTTGGGAAATCATCTATCAGTATAATACCACTGATGTAAACAGAGCTTATTTAATATATATGATTCTCATTCATCTGCCAATGCTCAAACACAAAGAAAAACTATTAGGAGACAAAACTGTATTCAGAACTGTATTCAGAAATAAACAAGATTATTTTTCTAAGTAAGAGAAAGGCATATAAATGACAAAATTTGAAAATTCTTGCTCTTTTGTGGTAAATTTGATTAAAAAGTTCAGTTGCTGAAACAATTGTTCAAATTACAACAATCATTCAGATTACAAGAACAAAAATGCAATGCCAATTTAACAAAGGTTGAATTAAAATAATTTAAATTTGCTATATTATTATAACTATCAAATAAAATATGATTTGTTTTCTGTAGACCAGCACACTGCAAAATACCCCCTCCTGACAGTTTATAACTTCAAAATCAGAATAATCATAGACAGATACATAAAACTAATTAATACTAATAAAACTATGAACTCACTTTTGCCTCTGAAGTTCAAGGAATAGATTGAAAGCCCTATAGACTAGCTTGACCAACTTTCTTTACACCAGCAGGCACCATCCATATCACCCAACACAAGTTTTTAGATTTTTAAACAGAAATCCAAGAACTTAGAAAATAATTTCATATTGGCAATTACAAGATTAAGAATACAAGGCATAAATTTTTAATACCTCATAAGATATATCTAAAATTTCATCACTTGGTTCTTCTCCCCAAACCTTTGGTCCTATAAATTGTAAAAGAATGCATAAATTTGTTAGAATATGTGTTTCTGATTAAGATTGCAATCTTACATAAATTTCAGTTACTGCAAAGCAAAGTGGTAAATTAGGGACCCCATCTGGACTGGGGGCTAGATTTCTCAACTCCAACCCTTTGAGTTCTGGGGATAAGGAATGACTACTCCAGACTATGATAGAAAGTTGGAAATTAGTTTTTATTACAGTAGACATGGTAAACAAGGAGAAAGAGCTGTATAATGACAGGAACAATGAACAGGACATGTATATATTTTCCATCTCTATTCATGTTTTGCATGTTATGTCCAATAATGGAAACCTCATGATTCAATGTAAGTAGCAGTGCAACACTTACTTGAAACATGATATTTCACTTTTTCTTCCAGGAAAAATAAATTATTAGATAAGGCAAGGAAAAGGAACGTTCCTGACACCACCAGTGGGCTGTGTGTCTCAAAACTCAGTCCCTCATTCAGTGATCCAGATCACTTAAAAACAAAAGCATTGTCCTATTTTGTAGATTCATCGGTAGTTCTAGTCCTTTGTAAATCCAAGGTAAAATATAGCCTTTGTGAACAAAGACTCTTTGTTTTGCCCTCTATAAGACGGACAGAACATCCATGGTTATCAGAATTAGCCCAAAGATAGTTATCTTTTCTAAAATGATGCAAGAACATGCCTAAACAGGCCATTCTGCTGCTGCACTGGGCAAAAACAATCTTTTTCCTTTTTCTACAGAGGCCAAACATGGCTTTAGGATTATTTTAGAAATATCAGTTTAGCTTAATATTTAATTAGAATATTATGACCTACAGCATACATTCTTTCTCACCTTTTTTGGGGGGGGGGGACTCATTTATTGAAAACCTCTTGGTTATAGAAGCTCAATTATTTATTGCATCTGAACCCGAAAACTGTAAGTTGGCATTAGAATTTAGACCAAGATAAGATAAGATTTATTAATTGAACTTTAGATTCCCTGCAGGTAAACTTTATGTCATCAGGAAGTCTGGTACTAGATCCCATGTTTCTAAGTTAGGCTCATATTCAAAGTGGTAAAGTTATGAACATTTTCTATTGCCTTCTACAATTGATCCAACATTACCCATGGCCCTAGATTACTCTTGTGGCTAGGAAAGAAAATAAGAGAGAATGAATTTCTGTAATATACCCATTGCTATGTAATTCCTATTTTAACTATTCATTCTACATGCATATTTAAGTTTAGCTGTCATTTACAGTATTTAAGTAGACCAAACAAAGAAACTAGGGAAAAAAACCCAAGCCCACCAAAATTTATTTATTTATTTATTTATTAAATTTGTCTGACTGCCTGAAACCAGCCAGACTCAGATGGTATGCTGCTGTATTCTGGACGAGTTGAAGAGTCCAGCTGGTCTTCAAGAGCAGCGTTGCGTAAAGGAAGCTTCAGTGACATAATCAAGAGATGAGGGCATGTTAAGGGCATGAGCATGTGTGTTCAGTACATCCTATTCTAGGTAAGGCAATAGCTGGTGCATCAGTGAGAGCTGTGCAGAAGTCTTCCTAGCTATGGTCTCCACCTGCTCTTCAAGCAAGAGTCCCAAGTCTAGGACTACCAGATTGCGAACCTGCACTTTCCAGGAAACACAACCGCATCAAGAACTAAAGATGGAAATCAACAGCAATTTTGTCTTGTTCAGGTTGAGTATGATTGTTTTTCCCCATCCAAATTCTGATATCCTCCTGACACTGAATCACAACTTCTACCATATTTCCCATTGGGCCTGGGGTGGAGATGTATATCTGAGTATCATCAGCATATTGATACTTCACCCAAATTGGCAGATGACCTCTCCCAGTGTCTTCAGGTTATATGTTGGGACAAAATAGGGGAAAGGATTAAACCTTGAGGCACTCTGTAACAAAGTGCCCATGAGTCCAACCTGTCCCCTGAAATACCACCTTCTGGACCTGCTCGGTTAAGGATTGGAACCACCTATCATTGTGCCTCCATCTCCCTACGCTTGCAGGGCGTCCAAATAGATACTATGGTTGACAGTATTGAATGCCACTAAAATGTAGGAGGACAAGGATGGCCATACTATCTCCATCTAGTTAAGTATAGCAATCTGTTGTATGTTTGTATAGATTCTGCAATGCAAGAGCTTCATAATGTAAGATTATATGGTGATATCCTATTCATATTAATGTTGTCTTTGATTTCCTTACCTTCCTGTTTCAATTTGTACTGGATTACAATTTCCTATCTAGATATTCTTTTATAAAACAATAGAAGCAGCTCTATACTTATTTTCTCCCTAATAAAATTGATTATTCAGCCAGACTACACACGTATGTTAGAAAGTAATTTCAAGATGTATGTGTGTGTATGTGTATATGCACACATTAACATATGTTGTGTTGGATTACAAAACTAATCCTTAATAAATGTAATAAGCCTTGCTGATTTTTCATTCTATTGCTAGATAAGTTTCAATATATTTCTAAATTTGTATAGTTTTAAGGTAAAGTGAAAACATACTAATAAAATTAAATAAAATAATCTTACCATCAGGTGTATCATAAGTCAGTGATTTGATAGAGACAACCATATCATCTTCAAAGGGTAAGTTGTACTAAATTAAGAATACATTATATCAGTTTTACAAGTTTCCTAACTACTAAATCGATCTATTAGATAAAATAGACATTTTTCAAAACAGTGTAGCCCAGCGGGATTAGAATCTCTATTAAAGATGGATTTTACCACAGGAAAATGACATCTGATTTGAAAACCAAGTTACTTAAATTCATGTGATGCGGGTTACATGAAGACTTTCAAACCTGGGATGCAGAAATCCATATGACCCCAGTTGGGGTTTTCTATATCTCTCTGTCACTATCTAGGAATCGTCCCCATTTTTCCCTCCCAAATTTAGTAGCCCTAGTCTGCATTATGTACAGCCTAACTATACAAATCTTCCAATATTCTCTCTTGCAGCTATACAGTAATTTATACTCCTGCATCTGATGAAGCTATGATACCAAGGAAATAAGTACCCGTGTTACTTTCTCTAATCTGTCTCACACCCGAAATGTACTGCAAATGGCTGTATTTTCAAGAAACTGCAGTAAAAGCACATCTGCTTCTGCTCAGTTTTGGTCCATGAGATCAAATATCTAGGCAGACTTCTAAGCCCGAATGCTCCCCGTTCCCTCTCTAGGCAGGAAGAACGATATAATAATGGTAAAGTACAACTGCTGCTGTTACTAATACTATTGCTATTAATAACTCGAGGGAGGAACAGGGGAAGACGCGGTCATCATGAAATCGGTCTGGAAAAGAGACCAGCATGGGAGCCATCCCCAAGGCCTCGGACCCCATGCAACTCCCGATCCTCTAGGTCAAACTTGGCTCTTCCGCACTCAGCCTCCATTGTGCTTACCTTATTCACAATGCCGCTCATGGCAGAGGCGAAGCGGTAGCGGCTAAGCCGGAAACGCCGATCCATGGTGCTACTGCCTTCTCCTACTTCTCGGGGTGTAAGATACTCCCCCTTACTTCCTCACGCTACCCACCTCAATTGCCACTTTGACTTAACTCTGCAGGACCTCGTTAAGGGCGGCCATAAATTGCTTCCGATGCACAAAAACCGCGACAGGCAATGGGAAAAAAAAACAAAAAACCCTCCCTCTCCCAATTCAAATATAGCGCTGTTCCAATCCCCGCAAGACTGACTTCGCATTCCTTACTTGGATAGGTAATTTCTCACGTCGCTTTGTGCAAACAGCCCAATCAGAAGGAGAGAAAGTAATTCCGATAGAATCCTTCTATTTGATTGGTCGGCAGGTCCATTTCTGCCTTCTAATCTAAACTCTCAAGTGAGTCGTGGGAGGAGACGGGAATAAAGAGAACCGTTGAAATCATCTTACTGTTGTTACACAGTAATTCTAGCGGGGTGGGGCCTAGGACAGCTTCGTTCTTACGGTCTGGAGTGACGCTGGGAAATGCAGACATATTTGCCGTGGAGGGGGCGTGGGCTCGTGATTTCCTTAGGTGGGTGTGCATTACATGACAAGTATTAAGAATAATGAGATAACTGTATTAGGAAATAACAGACAGCAGTACAGTCCTGCAAGTTTAAATTCAGCTGTACATTGGGGTATATAAAATAAAGAGTCGTGGGTGGCATTTTAAGGATTAACATGCTTCCCCCTCGCCTCCCCCTGCCTACGACAGAGGCAGCTAATTTGGGATATGGTTCTTGTTTTCTGGTAAAAATAAAAAGAACAAACGGTAAAAGCTGGGTGCCTTCCAGCTAGGAAGATCCTGCATTTTAAAAGGTTCTGAATGAGGTGGTGCGCTTGCACAATAGAGGAAAAAAACTCCCCGGAAAGCAATCTTATATTAAAAAAAACCCTTTAATAGATTAGAACCTATTGTACTTCTGATGAATAAAGAGTTCCCGTTATTATCTTCTGCACAGTGCATGCGGCAGAGTAAAAAGGCAATGACAAATAAAAAGCAATATGAAAAGCTCAGTTAAAGCTTAAATGTATGAGAACTGTCACAGTAAGGATTTGCTATACTAATAGTGAAATTTTAATATTGCTGTGTTAACTTATGTAGTGTGAGAGATTAAATATGCTGCAAACATCCAGATTATCTGTCCCAAAGTTTTAACATGAGGTGTAAATGTAATAACATCTAAATATATTCTAAATAATAATTTTTAAAAATTATACTCAGCTTTGCTGTTTCCTGATGCTAAACATAATATATACATTTAGGTGATATAGTTGTTTGTAAAGGTTGCACTGGTCACTTTATACCTTTTTTGTAATATTAATATGTAAAACATATTCCATAAACTTTAACGTAATTAATCAATTTGTCACAATGTTTGGTTTGGCAGTACTTTTGTTAAAAACAGCCAACAACCAATTTTAGAATAAAAAAGTAAGTAAATTAAAGAGTGAATGAGTAAACATTTTGTTATTCAGACAAGGTAAAAGAACTGTCTGCTGATTGTTTGGACATCAGAGTTATAGCTATGTGGGATGGGTTAAGATCCAGGTCTGCAGTTTAAGTGTGTTCTGGTATCCAGGAGTTGTGCTGAATATTATGAGAAAAAATGTAGGTCCATGCTCCCTTTCCCTTTGATCCCAGGGACAGCAAAGGAATAAACAAATGATAATTTGGCCATTTAATTATTGCAACAGCCATTAAACTACTGTTAAAACATCACTTCATTTACAATATTGGGATAAACGCATAAAGATGGTTTAATGAAGGCTGTTTTTGTTTGGCCCTTGGCAAACAGCATTGTGTCCTAGTGTGTTGACCAAGTGTTGGTCTTTCACAAGTGAGTGAAGATTGTGGCTCCAGTATTTTTCTAAACTACTACTGGATGTCTATCTATTATCACACCTACTTGCTTTGTAGGTAGAATAACATCCACATTAAATTTAGGGGAGTCTTTACAGGGAGGTTAGGCCTTCACTTTGGGATACTACCTCTTGAGATTTCCCACTTCTCTGCATTTGACACACATGGAGGCTAATCTGACTGGAAGCTTGTCCTGTATGGCTGGGTTAAGTAGTGCTTTACGTGGCATAGCTAGTGTCTGATGTGATATGGTGCCCCATTTGATCATGGTGTAGCTCCTGGGTTATCTTTGACTAGCTGGGTTTCCTTTCATCTCACAAATAACTTGGGGTGGTAACCTTGGTATATTTCTATAGCCCTTCCAGTCTGGTAACTGGGCCATAAACTGCCAGCTGTTTGGTTCCTTGGCTATGTTGGCTCCTACATCTTCACATCACATCAGGTATTATATCTTGTTTTCACTTTATGAGCAAATCTTTGTAGGAATCAGGCACATTCTGTTTACTTTCTTGAGTCATTCGGTCCCTTTGGGATGCTTAAGATGGCTACCCCAACCTTGGACATTACAATCTTGGAATACAACATGTCCTTTGCAATGTCATCTTCTGACTGGACAAAGATGCCTTCCTACTCTCCATAGTGTACAGGGGAATTCTGCTCCATAACACTAACCTAGCTGTCCCATCAAACCTGGAAACTAAAATAAAAATTAGTCCTCTGTGTGCCAGTCACTTCACTTTTCTGCTAAAAAAAAAAATCAGAAAAAAAGAAAAAGGGGAAATGCCTATGTGTCTCAGGCACAAACAGCAGTATCCTTTAAAAGTATTTACAGAGAATGTGTATGTGTTTGTGTGTGTAGGAGAGAGACAGGAGAGGGCTGCCTGTAGTGTCTCCGTATCCCACTATGGGTGAACCCATGGGGTGACATGCTGGAGGCTGTATATCCTGGATATTTCCTGTTAGTATTTTCACTTACATTGACTACCAGGAGGCACCACATGACAGGATTTGTACTTATTGGGACTTCTCAGATGAGGGTAGCCAGATGTTATTCTATGGGGTTCAAATCTTCTGGAAATTGAACTCTTAGATCTTTACAATTTAGATGACTATATACAGTGCATCTCTATAGTACATGGAATATATATTGTGTAAAACTAGAGAAATCCCATTCCCTCCAAGAGGGGTATGCAGAAGTCATGTTAAACCTGGTACTTGGGAACCTTAAGGGAGTATGGATTCTACAGACCATTCAGATAACACTTCTTGATACCACTGAAAACCAGGACCTAGATAGCTCTTAAATTAATGTGCTATATATAAGCCATCTAAAGTGTGAAGGTTCATGAGTTTAATTCCCAATAGAAGATTTGAACTGGGCAGATGGACTGTATAGATCATTTTGATAGTGCTATTAATGTAAAACTTGAACTCAGGCTGATATTACACAGAATGGCCTACTTGTGCAAAGAAATAGGAATGAGAAAAACTAGGGTTTCTGACACAGACAAAATTTGCAGCATGATACAACATTTAACTGGAGTTGTGGCTTATTCCCTAGAAATAACCTAAAATCTTAGGAATCTATGATTCTTTGTCCCTGCTTCTTCAGGAACTTGTCAGTATATTTTGCTTGTTTTCCCAGCTCAGGCACAGAGATTTCTTGTTTCATTTCCCCAGATTTCTGCACACACCCCCACACACCCCCACACACCCCCACGCACAAGTATCTAGGAGAGGAGGGGTTGAGGATATGTGCTAAAGTTCATGCCAGAGAAGTGTGTATTCAGAGCCTTTCTGGCATTACCCTATCATGGAGGCTGTAGTTTAGTGAATGTTGGCTGACTGTTGATGCCAGTTACAATGATCAGAAGCCTTAAGCAGCTAATAGTCTGAAGAGAATTTAATATATTTAATTTAATAAAGAGGGATTTTTTTCTATGTTTATTTATCAACAAACAATAAAAATACATTACAATAGAAAACAACACAATACAAAGTATGAGTTCTGAGAAAATTCAGGGAAATGGGATTTCAAAAAATGGTTCACTTTAATAAACCATATACAGAGTACAGTTATACATAAGGGAAGTAGAAAAATAAAACTAAAACAATGATGCAATTTTTAAAGCTTCTTGACATAGCAAAAAAGCAAGACATTTAAAAATGTAGAATTCATCCATAAACACATGTGCTAAGAAGGTGCGTGGGTACTAACTACAACTTAGCATGAGAATAGAAAGATAAAAATGATACTTTCTGGGTGGGAAGGGGAGAAATGTTTCTGTTTTAGGAGGGAGAGAAATAACTATAACAAAAAGGCTTTTTGGCCATGTTGGGCTCTTTCAGTGGCTTAGTGTGATAGAAATTGGCTTAACTTATTTTGGACCATAAGAAGGGTATAGACAGAAAGAAAAAAAGAGGGAGGGGCTGTTACCCAATTGAGCAAGAATCCTCTTCTAACTTGCTTTATGGTTCATAGCAATTATGACAATTTTCCCGGAGAATTTACCAAATTAAAAGAAATAAAAAAACTAAATCTCACTTCATGGTTTGGGAAACTATCAAAAAATGTGTGTGTTTTTTTCCTTCCTGGACTGAGGGGAGAGGGGAAAGGAGAGAAGAATGATTAGTTTACTGAAGTGAAGAGATTAACTTAGGTGACAAATCTGAATGTAGGAATGACACACTGTTCTAGTGTCTCAAGATTTAGTCTGGTTCTTTCACATTCTGAAAACTGTAAGAGGGATGTACAGGTGTGTGCTTGTATGACTGTTTTGTTATTTTAAAGCCCATAGCCAGAAAAAGTATTTTGAAAGCTTTACTTCTGAATATAATTTTAGAACTGCTGGGAACTGTTTATGCTGCATAAAAAGCAATAAGAAGAAAAAGATATACAAGCAGGAAAGAGCATTGGCCTTTACTCCAGGATTTCAAAAGAGATAGTTTTGTTTACCATTAAATTGTTGTATTGTTAAACATGTTTCTTTTTATATATTAGAATTAATCTTTGATAGCTAAAGGCAAAGTTTTGAAATGTATCATCTGATTTTTTAATTATTTCCTCAAATTTGTATCATTCCATGACAAATGTGAAGTTTTTTTAAAAAAAACAGCAACTCCTTTTTTTTAACTGTAACACACTTTATATTTTAAATAATTCCCATAATACCAAAGTAGTTAACTGCTTTTCCAAGTAGATATTTAGAACGTTAAAATGATTGAGGTGTTTCTTAGATAACCCATTCCTATTTTAAACACTGATTAGTACAGATGTTAAGTTAATGCAAAAATGTATTTCATCGTTAACTGATCTAAACACAGGCCAATCCTATCTAGTGGTTTATAACCATGTTGCACATTTCAAGTTAAACAAATTATATTTAAGCAATTTATCTATTCTGTATCTTCTAAAGAGACCTCTCCCCACTTCCCACTTTATTTATTTATTTGGATATCTTGTCCCAGTGCCAGTTATATACTGTGTTTATTTTATTCAGCATTAAAGAGCTTTGTGGCATATATAGACAAAAGCTGCTACATCTTATGGAAAGGAAAAGGGAGAGAAAATAGATGAGGAACACTTCTGAAGTGATAATCTGTCTAGACCTTCTTATGCTTTGAACAGTGGATGGGAAATGTAACATTCAGTCTTGAATACTTGATACTACATTCCTTGCATTGTTCTGTTTGTCACAAGTCCCATTTATTATATGTGTCAGATGCTGTGTCTTCTCCCACTTTGTATAATTTTCAGTACATTGGAGAGCTCAAAACTCTTTGAAATCATTTCGAGGAAGTGTTCATCATTTTCCACTCCATTCAGGAATTCTTCTAAGGTCAGTTCCCCTATTATGAAAACAATATGGATTCCTTTATTGGCAAAGTTTCTGTAGACTTATTTGTTCTCCCAAATGCCATCCTCCTGAACTTTCACACTCTTGGAGTTATGGAAAACACTATCCCAGCACTGCAACATTTATAAGTTGGTAAAGTTAACATAGGTGCCCAACAATGTTCTCCAGTTTGTAGGGAACCAAATATTCCATTCATCTGAAAATGCATTTGATGCATTTGTGAATCCTGCAGTGCCATCTGTAGGACAGACTAACATAATAACTAGTTTGCTATACTGAATAGAGAAGACTTCTTCAATCTGTTGCCCTCCACTCAAATGACATTCTAATATTTAAAGGCCATCTATGTGGAGAGCCTAGACTGAGGAAGGCTGGAAAGATACTGCTTAGATATGCCACAGATCACTATGCTTCAGGGTGGGGAATGGGAATGATGAAAGCTGGGGAAAGGAAATCTTAAGCTCTAAGCAAATGTTCAGGCAGACAATTCAAACTCCCTGCTTCCTCAAGCTGCTTTTACTGAAACAATAAAAAGGCAGAAGAAAAATATATTTGTCTTTGTGGACCTATCTAATTTGAATCTCAATTATTAGTTTCATTTTAATGCATCAGAAGAAAGAGTCTCTCATCTTCCCTTAGCTTTGCATATTTATTCCATTCCAATCAGTTTTATATTGGAAGGAAAGAACTAATAGAGACTCAAGAGCAAATATGGAAGTTTTTCTTCAATATTTCTTTTTGGTATTGGTAGTATGCTGCTTAGGGGTTTAATTGATATGATGCTGAACTGACAACAAACTGAGATTTATATATACAATAGAGCTTAACTGAAAAAAAATCAGGTTTCCCTAACATACAATCAAAGCAAGCATATATTACTAAATAATGCAACTGAAGAATGAAGTTTAGTAAAATTATCCTGTTTGATTTGGATAAAAATACAGCTTGAAACATTTCAAGCATTCACCTTTCTCACCCTTGATTCTCATGGCAAGATTCAGCACTTTGCTCTAATACCACAAAGTATGTCTATCATTAAATATATTTATAACTTTTTAGCTACCAAGTGAAATGACCACTTCTGGCAGGATACCCTAGTACCTGGATCAAATACAAAAACAAAGTTGTAAGACAAAGAATTGCAATACAGTCGACTTTTTGTTAGAATCACTGTAAACCAGCTTAATAAAATATGTTCAATAAAGAAATGGAGCTCGACTATACAAAGTGAAATGTATGAGCCATATTTTTCCCCATTCCCTTTCTCTGCTGTCTTCTATTTCATGTTGCTGCTACCACACAGTGAGATCAGGCCATACAGTCTGAATGGCAACCTTGAATAAAGAAATTTCCAACTTTTGCTAGATACTATGTTCGTTATACAGTAATCTTCTTATATAATCAGATTAGTGTTAACCAGTTCTAACATCTCTGAAGTATACATGTTGCTAACCCGTTATAGATTTATCAACAGAATGCTTTTATAAAATTTCAAAGTTACTTCAAAAGACTGAAAATAACTTTGAAGATTTATTTACTCTTACCATCATTGTTTACATCTATCTTCTCAAAAACCATGTTTGTGAATTCTTCAGGAGTCATCTCTTGGTTGCTATTGATGGCTCGAATAGCCTAAATAAATAAGAATGCAAGAATAACTACCTATATCCATGTTGCAAATATAAGAGGTAGATTTTTTATACTCTGCATTTGAGGCATGGGTAGAAAAGAATTCCAGGAGAATCAACACTGAGAGCTAATCAAATTATTTAAAAGAACCTAAAAGTTTATATACTTAATTTGCATATCAAACATCTTTGGATATTTAATTTATTTTGGATATTTAATTTATTTTGAAATACTGTTAAATTTTTACCCTATGTTTTACCTATATTAAAATTCAGATTTCAGCTGTAGATATACAGTACAGTAAGAAAGCTTTCCTCATTTATCCAACATAAAATTAATCATTTTATTTTAAGCAAGCATCATAGTAACTTAAATACTATGCTTTCACTACCTTTGAACATTAGGATCTGTTTATAAATTAACAAAAAGAGGTTAATATGATAGATAAATGGAAGTAAACAATGGAAAAGCACACTCCTACTGCTTTTAAATTTGTACTGTAGCTGAAGAAATGCAGATGGTGATTGCATACAGTATCTTAGTATTTATCCGTGTAGACACACCATGGGTTTAGTAAAATACATAGTAAAGTATGTAGAGGAGCCTGCAGAGATGGCAGGTCAACAGTATCATTGCAGGGTAACATCTCTTCTAAAATCACTACACTGATTACCAGTAGCCTTATGGGGCCAATTCAGATTGCTGGCCAATACCTATGATGTCTTACATAGTGTAGCGCTGAGATATATTACGCATCACCTTGCCAGAATTGAATTTGCCCCTTGACAGCACCTTCTAAGAGCTCCCCCAACTCCAGAGGTTAGGGAGATATGAACCACAGAAGGCCTTTTCTCTTGTGGTTCCTGCACTTTGAAACTCTCTACCACCAGAGATCTGCTCAGCCCCCGCCCCCTTATTTAGAATTCATATATTGTTTTGCACTATTTATATTTTTACTCTGTTGTAACCTGCCATATAGAGTCTTCTTACTGGGGCACACTATAAAAACATAAATTAACTAAGAAGCATAGACTTGGAAAGGAACCATTTAAGTCAATGCAGGGATCCAAATCAAAACATGTATAACAGACAGAAGCCTAAATTATGAGAACTCCACTGCAGAAATCTTCTGAATGTTTGAACTGGCTTTTCTAAAGGGCCAAATTAGGTATGATAACTGAGACAAAATTGCTGTGCCATAGCCATGGCGGTCAGAAATAATTCAATCTGAACATAATCTAGGTGGCCTTAGTTCCTGCTGTGATAGCCTTTATGCTGGATATTTTTGTTTTTGTTTTCTCTAGTCTATAACTGTAAATTCTTTAATAAATAAATAATTGAATGTTAAAAGGCTAAAAATACCAGATATGATGTAATGTAATTGTTGAGCCACTGTTACTTTGTTCCCATTTGTGCTCATACTTTATTCCACTACATGAATAGAAAACAAACTTAGGGATGAGTTTAGGATACAAAATAGGCTATACAAAAAAGATTACATTAAGTACTTTTCTTCTAGTCCTGCTGTTCTAGAACAGTTATTCATACACACAAATATCAGGAGCTTCATCAAATCTTGTGGTGTTTTCCTCTTAAGTGTTCATTCAGCACACTCAGTCATTATTTGGACAAGAAACTGTTCTCAGGCATGGTCGATTACCTCTGAATGAACTGAGAGATCAATTTGTCCCAGAATCCTTCATACTGTGGATTTTTTGTCCTAATTCAAGTCTTAGGCCCAACTCCAAGTTTAAGAAGGTCTTGGGCAAATTGTTTTCTGGGTACCTTTTTCTGTTAGTAGACCTCTTGGATATTATTCTTGGCTATACATAACTGCAGTGATAGTGACCCTAGCCATTATTCTAATTTCCTGCAATGCCCCAAGTACTCTAACTTGGATATTGCAGAAGAGAGGAGAGGAGAGGAGATTAGATTCACTTCTGCTCTAAGTGGTCTAACAAATATTTTTAAGATTGGACACAGGTCAGTTTTACATGTCCATGAAACCTTTTTCTCCTGCAAAAAAAAAATGTTTAGAAATTACAATCCTTTTATGAAGATAAACATAATTTTACTTTTGGTGGCTGAACAGTTATTTTGCTTGCAATTATATAAATAAGAATTCTCCCCCCTCCCCTTTACAATCTGTTTAAAATACAAAGAATGATGGCAATGATGATACTGGGCACTTGGCATGACAATGAACACAACAAAAGATGGTTGCATTTTCCCCCCCAGTTTCTTCAAATAATATGTAAAACAGCTGTGTTACTCAGTTCCTCCCATGAACAATGAAACTATTCTTTTCCCACCCACCAACTTTGGTCCAGCCCTTTCCACCATTGTGGTTCATCTCTGAAGGTGCTAAAATGTTTGGTTGCAATCACTCAGAACTACCTTAAGCAGAGCAGCTCCTTTGAATGCTTTTGAGCTAGTTGACTTCCACAAAATACCAAGTGCTGATAGCAGCCCTAGGTAGTTTCATTCCCATCTAGTGGAAGTGGGGAAATCTCAGTGTAGTTCCATATTGCCTTTGTCTTTGATCTCTGGGACAGCAAAGGAATAATAAATGACAATTTGGCCATATAACTATTGAAAAGTCATTAAGCTAGTCAAAACATCATATGTTTACAGTATTAAAATCCCATAGAATGATTCATCATGGCAAACTTGTGACATTTACTCACCATTAATATGCTTATTACTTCTTTTTTGTCAATTGTTCCACTTCCATCAGCATCATAAAGTTTAAAATACCATTTCAATTTTTGGTCAATTTTTCCTCGTATCACCAGATTTATTGCAGCTATAAGCTCCAAAAAGTCAATAAACCCATCCTTTTTTAAAAAAAAGAAAGAAAAGCATATTTACAACTTATATGGAACTGCATTTATTTTGACAATAATATTAATAAGAGGATAACCTGCTGCAAAAATAATATAAAGTTGTTTGGATGGCACCTTCTTCATCCTATAACTTCCCAGAGCTACCACAATAGTGCCTGCTTACTTGCTACACAACAGTCCCCCATTCAGGAAGAAGAAAAAGACCAGCAGAAGGTCAGAAAGAGAAGGAAAACAATTTACTGTACATCCATAGATTATGAGAATAATAATGGAGAATAATAATAAAAAAAATCACCATCAGTCAATTCCAAAAGGCAGCTTTACTTGGAACAGCTTATATCCTGCGATGAAACCTTTAACACTATCAGACCACATCTGCCTATCCCAGGTCCTTGGGAAGGACTTGATAGGTGGATAAAAATGCCAAATCCAGTCTAAACATCCGGCTGACTGTGAGACCAATCATCATCATCATCATCATCATCATCATGATGTGATACAGAGGCTTCCTGTCTGTACCAGTGCTTCAGATTGCCCACCAACTTTAAAAAGTAGAAGTGGTAAACTTCAGAAACTTCACTACTGTCCATCATGAGAATGGCACTTTCACATCAAGAACTGCTTCAAGCCATTGAGAAGAGCAGCCTCACTGCCTCATTCCATTGCAGCTCAAATTTCTGTATGGCAATCCCACAAAAAGCACATTGGCAGTAACCTAACTATGATGTTACTAGAGCATGCGGTTGATGCAGTTGTTGCTCTGTGTGAAAAACAGCAATGTAAGTTGTTCATCTCTTTCCTTGAGAAGGCTAGTCATATCAGGGACTCATATTAACTCTTGTACTTTTGATTTATTTTCTTTTCAGGCATTTGCTGTCCAATACTACGTGTGCTTATTCTAACAAAGGTTCCATGGTGTTCCATTAAGGCGTACTCAGAAATACCTCATAAGACTGTGCCATGATGGCCAATGATTGCAATACATTCATGAGAAAGATGCGAAGTAGGATAACAACAGGCAAAAACCAAGGCTTGAAATGCAGCCAAGGACTAGAGTCAAAAACTCAGAAACAAAAAGAGAAAGCATGAGGCCAGGTTGGAAAGTCAGAGTTTATCAGGAAGGTACAACAAAGAGGCCAGTAGGTGGTGCCACTCAAAATGTCAGATATTTCTATACCAACAGACAGTATGAAAAATAAACAGGGAGAACTAGGGATCCTAATTCAGAAAGAGAAAGATGATGTGATAGGTATTGCTGAAAGGTTGTGGGATGATATTCATGATTGACACACAATGCTGGAAAGCTACCATTTATGCAAAAGGAGCAAATCCAACAGAAGGAGTAGGGGTGCTGCACGATATGTAAGGAAAAAATAAATTTGCAGAGATGTTCAGGAATTGGAGCATAGAACTCTTCTTGAAACAATATTTGGACAAAAATAAAAGGAAAGCAAAACAAAAGTAATCCTATTGTGGGAGTTTATTATAGCCCACCTGAGCAGGCAGAAGATACAGATGAGGTCTTTCTGTATCAGATGACAAGCTTTTCAAAGAGGAATGTGATAGTGGTAGTGGGAATTTCAATTGCCCAGACATCTGCTGGCAATAATTCTGCCAAAATTCTTCTGTCCTTTTGCTGATAACTTCATTTGTCAGAATGTGGAAAAATACATACATACATACTTTCTCAGAAGTAAGTTACATTGAATTTAAAGGCATTTACGTCTGGGTAAGTAAGTGTATAACAATAGCATAGATGAATTTAAGAGGCCAACATACTTTTTATACTCACAGACTATTTAGTAAACATAAGTTTTTTCCATATTAGCCATTTTATATACTGTGGCACAGTCACTTAGAGTATAAGATATTTGCATTTAGACCAATAAAAAAAAAGCAGTTAACAATAAGATCCAAACTGGTCTTAACAAAATAACATCTTCAGAGAGGGATATCCTTGAGGTACAAGGTACAAGGTTGTTTACATAGGCGAATCTCACAAATATTTGGACCTGATTTACAAAGGATTGTTTCTTCTTGTATTTGGAACACGTCGAGTGAAGAAAGTTTATAGTAGAGTGTTACAACATTTTCTCCCCAAATTGAACTGGCCCTATGTTTTATAGTTCCACTTATTTTCTGTCACTTTTCTTTCCCTTTCTCTTTTGAGCATATTCTCAAGTTTCTCCCACTTGCATTGATCAGCTTCTCAGAAGTGGCTCCCTTGAAGGAAGCTCATTTTTGCATAGCTATGATAAAGGGAGAGGGATACATTATTTTCGAAAATCACATACATACAACACTCGGTGTGGCTTCTTTCTGTAACTTTTGCTAGGTGCTGATTAGAGAAGCAGCTTGGATCTTTTAGCAAGTTACGAGAACAAAACGTTCCAAGCATACCTACATTTACTGCTTTGGAAGGTTTATCACCCACATTTTTGCTTTTGCACTCATTCATGCGCTCACCTAACTCTAGTGACCTAGAACTGGCCAAGCCCCAGTCCTAGAGTGACTCCACTGTGATTTTTTGTTTCAGGTCTTTCATAATCCACTGCTTACTAAATTGCCTTGGGCAATGCTGATTTACAAGATGCCACTTTTTATTTCTTTGATTTGTTTCCTCATTCTTCCGGAGTGTGGAGTGTGTTTCTGTTTCTTTCATTTTGGAATGCCAGGTATCTAGTGAGATGTGGGCATTTCTCATTTTCAAATAATAGCGTCTGGGCTCTCTTTCCTTTGATGCTGACTCTGGTTCTTTTGGAAAAATCCATATTATTTTATCACAGTGGACAGGTTAGAAGTGACCTCATTGCATTTAGTGGGGAAATACATTTCCAGGATTAAATCCTTAACAATAAAATCAAATATACAGCAAAAAGTAGCTTTTTATCTGACACCTACTAATTGGATAACACTTAGGATATTAAAAAGAAACTTTTCCTATCCTGAGTTTTGTACTTTACATTAATTGTGTGAATATATAAGTGAAAAAGCAAGCATTTAGTGGGGAAATACATTTCCAGGATTAAATCCTTAACAATAAAATCAAATATACAGCAAAAAGTAGCTTTTTATCTGACACCTACTAATTGGATAACACTTAGGATATTAAAAAGAAACTTTTCCTATCCTGAGTTTTGTACTTTACATTAATTGTGTGAATATATAAGTGAAAAAGCAATTTGTTTCATTTTATATCATGTCTGCTTTCCTATTTAGGAATTGTAATAT